TTTGAAACTGTCATCCTATCTCATCCTATTGTATGGTTGTGTGTAACTGCATGTTGTGAGTGCTATAGCTGAACTATTCTCTAGATTTCTTATCTTATTTGGATCAACCAATCTAGATTTTGCTAGGTTTTTATGTTCAGCTAATCGGACTGCCCCCGTTCTACTAGTTTGACCTATGTATTTGACCTGACAATCATTCCAGGAGGGTATTAGATAAACTAAACTGTTTTGTTTTAAAGGCTCTACAGTTTCACTGTGTGATATATCTAATAAACAAACAAATATGGAATTACATTTCAGAAGATATCGGATATGCAGTATGAGTAGTGCATTTTGCTCAGCTGTGAATTGCTTACATCCCTGGTTGGTTCATTTTCATTCACACACTTTTTGAAGTGTTCGCAGATTTCCAACAAACTATGTGACCCAGATATTTTGGAGCATTGAAATTGCGTGAAATATGAATAGTTTGTGTATAGGTCTATATTTAGTATTCGAATAGAGAAAAAATCCTCCTCTGATCATGTGCATGTATTGTTATTACATATAATCTTTGGTACCTTTCATATGGAAAATTGGCTAAATTTGTGCCGAAAACTTAAGTTGTACAACATTAGGCTTGAAAATCAAAACAATTGTAACTGTACGCTGAAAGCTGAAACCACTTGATCTTAATTTGATAAGCTGCCCATTGCTTTTAAATCAGATGTGCTCTTGAAAGACACAGCACTTACATGGGCAGCACAAATTGTGATTTCACAAATGACTGATATTCCTATGTTTGTTCTTTGAATAATCATGAAATCCTGCCTAATTTGGCATGAATAATCACTAGGTGTAAGAAAAGTCGAAAGTGTTTCTGTAACCAAGTAAAGTTGGGACGGATGTTTCATTCGTTTCCTGAAGTAAAATCATAACAATTTACAACGGTGTTATGACACTCATGAACACTCATCTCAGTGATCTAATGGTTAGTGTATTCATTAGCTGTGAGTATTTAAAATTAAGGATAGTCAGTATCGCTTTTCCTGCCTGTGCATTCATATTTGAATTAATGTAGGTATAATGGTGTATTTTCCGACATTTAGACTAGATATCTTATGTCTCTCAGAATAATTTCGATAGTTGAAAAATAATTGAAGAGATGGAAATACAGTGAAATCCAAACGGACTACTGATGAATTTTACTTCAGATGTTGTAAATTACAAGTCAAAATTGTCACCGCGTAACATGTTTTGTGATTTTAAATTGTCAATTTGTCGTAATCCTTAACTATTTTCATCACAGTTAGTTGTACCACTCACTACATATCTCAGTGAAATTGCGCAAGAGAGATGTCATAGTATCAGACAGCTGTTTAATAGCGAATTCAGTTATTATTTCTTGCTTTCATTTGTATGACATCTCGGAACATCATTTGGCGTTTTCGATAAAGTAGTTCGTCCACCACACAGATCGATGGATGTCTGATGCTGGCCTAACCACGAGACCTGTTCCTCGAAGGAAAATTGTACATTTCGTTGTTAGACAAACACCTAGTGATAGGTTCACATCATCTTTTCATAAACAGAAATTTTAGTCTTATACAAATACGAATGGAGAAAATCAATCAGACCTTATTCATTTTTGTAGAACAGTATGAGAAATGCTCTATGTATCCTAAACTGAAATGTACAGTGTGGATTCATGAAGACAGTTTCCTTTCATCCAGGGGAAATATGTGCGTAGAATTGGCTTTTTGGAATTAGTGAATAATAGATGGAAATTGTAGTCCTCTGGTTGTATGTAATGTAATTGTATATGAGAAGGATAAAGCCGTTCGGATAAACCCGCCTTTCGAGAGTGGAAAATACAGACGAAATGTTCAGCATATATAGTTTACCCATCAGAAGATAATTATGTCACACCAAGTCCAATGTGGAGAGATAAATTTTGATGGGCTACGAAATATTCTTCAATATATAATCATGCTACTCACTATTAAAAAAGTAGTACAAAGTTAAACACAGATAAAACGTGATGAAATCTGATGAATGCATCAGGAAGTAATTAACATAGTGTACAAGCATTACTGTATATATATTTCCGGTGAGAAATTGGACTTAGGTCAAGTTTAAAGGACATATTCAAGGTCAAAGTAACAATGGAGACCACTAAACCAAATAACAGAGGTAATAGTACATCTGCTATGGTATCAAAACAAAATTTACCAAGGAAGGTTTAATGTGATGACAAATTGTTTTTGAACGCATAAAGGTGGCTTAAACTTCCTAATTGCCAGGGCTTCTTTGGTGAGAGCTGTCTACTAGCCAAATTGGTAGAAAAGGAAGATAATTGTTTATCTTTACTAGATGTATTCATTAGCCAAAAGCCTAATGGGTCAATAAAAAGATCTATTTATAGAAAACCTACCTGGACAGGACAATATCTTTACCACAGTTTTTGCCCTGTTCGGTACAAAAGAGCCTTAGTAAGGTGCCTCTTCAGTAGAATCCAACGAATATGCACTGAAGACACACTTGATGCGGAAGAAGGAAAGTTGACACAAACTCTGGTTGATAACAATTATCCAGACAAGTTCATCATGCAGATTTGACAGTTATCAGTACATTTCTCAGTCTTTCAAAACCTAACAAATTACCAGTAACTTCAGAGTTTTCATCAGTCTTCTCTGAAATTTAATCAGAATAGTATGACACATCCTTTCCTACAGGCGTGAACACAATTCTGCCAAACGCCACCATACTCAGAGGAGTTTCTCTGCGATATATGCATCAACCTAGCTCTCAATAAATAGGCGAATCACACTTCATAACCTTGATAACACTGTATACTTTCCATTTTCCGTCTTTCAAGCAATTCATGTGAAAAGCCTGATCTAATATTTTTACACTCAGACCAGAAGTGTAGAATAATTTTACGCAGTTTTAACTCTTAATACAAGTGAGAACTTGAACACACTGCAGTATAGTTTTTCGAGTGACACTAAAGAGACTGTCTATCTAACAAGTGATCATTCTATCGCAAATATATATATACAGGAATGTTTGTACACTATGTTAATTACTTCCTGATGCATTCATCAGATTTCATCACGTTTTATCTGTGTTTAACTTTGTACTACTTTTTTAATAGTGAGTAGCATGATTATATATTAAAGAATATTTCGTAGCCCATCAAAATTTATCTCTCCACATTGGACTTGGTGTGACATAATTATCTTCTGATGGGTAAACTATATATGCCGAACATTTCGTCTGTATTTTCCACTCTCGAAAGGCGGGTTTATCCGAACGGCTTTATCCTTCTCATATACAATTACATTACATACAACCAGAGGACTACAATTTCCATCTATTATTATTATTATTGTTCCCTTGGGTTCCTAGTGGAACATAGGGCTTCAACTGCACGTCTCCACTTGCTTCTGTCTTCTGCTGTTCTTTTCACTTGCGTCCATGTTATTCCATACTGTTTCATCTCCTCCTCACACGATCTCCTCCATGTCACCCTTGGACGTCCCACTCGCCGCTTCCCTTTCGGGTTCCACTCGAGCACTGGCCTGACGCGCGATGTCACTCAATGGCCTCCTCAGCGAGTGTCCAATCCATCTCCACTTCCTCCTGCATATTTGTTGGGCGATTGGTTCCTGTTTCGTTTGTTCCCATAGCTTCTTGTTTGTGATTCTTTCTGGCCATCTAATCTTCAGTATGGAGCGAAGACAGTTGTTGATAAAGGTCTGCAACCTGTTGAAAATATTCTTGGTGACCCGCCAAGTTTCTGATCCGTAAAGCAAAATTGACTTGACGTTTGTATTGAAAATCCGAATTTTGTTGTTGATGCTGAGTAGTGACGAAGATTTCCAGATTGGTTTCAGGTTGATGAATGTGTTTCTCGCCTTCCCGATTCTCGATTTGACATCCTCGTCCGTTCCTCCTGTGGTTGAGACAATGCTCCCTAGATAAGTGAAAGAAGTAACCTCTTTCAAATCCCTCCCGTTGATGGTGATTGGCGCTGGATGTTGCTGCTGTTGTTGTTGTTGGTTGGTTATTTTCATAACCTCCGTCTTGTCTATGTTCACCTGGAGTCCTGTCTTTGCTGCTTCTTCGACCAGTTTGTCGGTTTTTGCTTGTAAGTCTTCGATTTTGTGTGACATCAAACATAAATCATCCACGTGCGAAATCCAGGTCTTCTAGGTTCTTCACGTCGGTCCAGGATATCCCTGTCTTCTCGTTTCCCACTGTCTGACGCATAATCCAGTCCACCACAATTAGGAATATCATTGGTGATAATAAGCACCCTTGTCTGACTCCTGTGTTTACTCCAAACGCTTCGCTGAGTTTTCCGTTGTGGATCACTTGACATGTGCCGTTGTCGTACAGTTGTTGAATAAGGTTGATGAATATTTGCGGTACGCCGTAGTACTCGAGTAGTTTCCAAATTACTTCGCGGTCAACGCTGTCGAAGGCCTTCTCAAAGTCTATGAAGTTGAGGTAGAGATTTGATTGCCATTCCATGCTTTGTTCGATGATAATGCGTAGAGTTGCAATTTGGTCAGAACATGATTTGCCTTTCCTGAATCCAGCTTGTTCTGGTCGGAGTTCTGTATCCAGCGCGTCCTTTATTCTCTCCAGGATGATGCGACTCAGGATTTTACTTGGCGTCGACAGGAGCATGATTCCTCGCCAGTTCTTGCAGAGTCCCAGGTCGCCCTTCTTTGGTAGTTTCACCAGGTAACCTTTCTTCCAGTCAGTAGGCACCTTTCCCTCTTTCCAGATCTTTTGCAATAATGGAGTCAGCATATCTGCCGTCGTTTCTGGGTCCGCTTTCAGTGCTTCCGGGGGTATTCCATCTGGTCCAGCTGCTTTTCCAGCTTTCAGAAGCTTGATTGCATTCATGACTTCAGTTTTCGTTGGAGGATTGGTGTCAACTTGCAGTTGTGTACGTGCTGTTGTTGGTATTACTGGACGGGTTGTAGGTGGTGGTCGGTTCAAGAGTCCTTTGAAGTGGTCCGCCCATTGTTTAATCTGTCTTTCTTCTTTGGTAATTGGGTTCCCTTGGCTGTCTTTTATAGGTTTCACTTGTGTTGATCTCTTCCCGGATAGAGACTTGGTTATCTGATATAGTGTCCTCAGGTCCCTTTTGCCTGCTGCCTTCTCAGCTTCAGTAGCCAGGTTGTCGTAGAATTGTCTTTTGTCCTTCCTGGCACTCTTCTTCACTTCTTTGTCCAGTGCTGTGTAAGTTGAGTTCAGCGTCTCTTTCTCTTGTCCATCTTTGCATTGAATCATTTTCTCTTTCACTTTTCTCCTCTCCTCTATTAGTTTCCAAGTGTCTGTTGAGAGCCATTCCTTGTCTTGTTTCTTCTTTCTTCCTAAAACCGTTGAGCACGTTTCGTTGAAAATTACCTTCAGAGAGTTCCAATGGTCTTCCACGGATGATTCCTCAGTGGTGCCACGTAGTGTTTCCTGCTTTGCTCTGACAGTTGCAGTGAAAATGTCCTGTGTGATTGTGTCCTTCAGTTTGTGAGTGTTGAACTTGCATTGTGGCCTATCCCCAGGTATCCTCGAGGCTTTCAGCTTCACCTTGAAAGTCCCTTGTACCAGATAGTGGTCTGAACCCACATCTGCTCCTCTCCTCGATCTTGTGTCCAGTAGGCTCCGTCTCCACTTCCTTGAGATTGAAATGAAGTCTATCTGGTTTTTGGTGTGTCCATCTGGTGAAATCCATGTTGCCTTGTGTATATCCCTGTGTTTGAACACACTGCCACCAATCACCAAATCATTGAAGGCGCAGAAGTCTGAGAAGAGTTCACCATTTTCGTTCATTTCACCGAGGGCCTCACGACCCATGGTGAGTTCTCTTCCTGTATTGTCTCCTCCCAGTTTCGCATTCATGTCGCCCATCAGGATTTTGATATCGCTCTTTGGGACGTTGTCCATTACTGTTTGTAGTTGACTGTAGAAATCCTCCTTCTTCTCATGTTCTGAGGCGTTTGTAGGCGCGTAGCACTGAATGATTGTAACCTTTTTTCCTTTTGAGTTGAACCTGGCTGTCATTATCCTGGAGGAGATTGGTTCCCACTGCATGAGAGCTTTAGCCGCTGTTGGTGACATCATGATGGCTACTCCCTCGGTGTGCTCGTGATTGTCCTCTGGGTGACCGGAGTAGATTATTGTCTCTCCAGTTGATAGTTGGCTCCTTCCACATCCGTTCCATCTGCTCTCGCAGATTCCCAACACTTCTATTCTATATCTCCTCATTTCTGCGGCTACCTGAGCAGCCTTCCCAGCTTCGTACATTGTACGAACATTCCACGTCCCCATCCTTATTTTCGCTTTCATCGAAAGAAGGCACATCGGCTGACTGGCTTCCCGAAGGCTTTCACCAGCCCGCGTCATTTCACTTCCCCGATTCCAGCGAAAAATAAGGTCACTATTTGTAATTTTAGAATTTTGAATATATTTGTGCGTTGAAGTTTTAGTAGCAATTTGGTTAAGTTTTGGGGGTGGAGTTGCTAGCACCACGCCCCAACCCTCCCTCTTTATCCGGGCTTGGGACCGGCTAGAATACTAGTGACCTAGTAATCTAGGCGAGGTTACAATTTCCATCTATTATTCACTAATTCCAAAAAGCCAATTCTACGCACATATTTCCCCTGGATGAAAGGAAACTGTCTTCATGAATCCACACTGTACATTTCAGTTTAGGATACATAGAGCATTTCTCATACTGTTCTACAAAAATGAATAAGGTCTGATTGATTTTCTCCATTCGTATTTGTATAAGACTAAAATTTCTGTTTATGAAAAGATGATGTAAACCTATCACTAGGTGTTTGTCTAACAACGAAATGTACAATTTTCCTTCGAGGAACAGGTCTCGTGGTTAGGCCAGCATCAGACATCCATCGATCTGTGTGGTGGACGAACTACTTTATCGAAAACGCCAAATGATGTTCCGAGATGTCATACAAATGAAAGCAAGAAATAATAACTGAATTCGCTATTAAACAGCTGTCTGATACTATGACATCTCTCTTGCGCAATTTCACTGAGATATGTAGTGAGTGGTACAACTAACTGTGATGAAAATAGTTAAGGATTACGACAAATTGACAATTTAAAATCACAAAACATGTTACGCGGTGACAATTTTGACTTGTAATTTACAACATCTGAAGTAAAATTCATCAGTAGTCCGTTTGGATTTCACTGTATTTCCATCTCTTCAATTATTTTTCAACTATCGAAATTATTCTGAGAGACATAAGATATCTAGTCTAAATGTCGGAAAATACACCATTATACCTACATTAATTCAAATATGAATGCACAGGCAGGAAAAGCGATACTGACTATCCTTAATTTTAAATACTCACAGCTAATGAATACACTAACCATTAGATCACTGAGATGAGTGTTCATGATTACACGATTCAGACGAAATACGTCCTATTATTGCTTTATTTAAACAGCTTTTTTGTTACATTGTTCTTGTAACTGCGATGACGAAATTAGTTTGAAAGGTGAAGCATTGTTTCGAATCAGTTTACTGGCAAATTAGGCTGAAAGTCAGTTCATTTGCGTTTTTGTGATGAATTATCTACATGAAAGGTCAGCTGAGAGAATATATCGATGAATAATTGTCATGAAAGTGATAACACATTATTAAATGGTAACTTGTATAGTTATTTTGTGGCTTAATCCTTTATGAAAAGAAAACACTTAGTCCGGTGAAGAGGCTGTTTTCAGGGAATTCATTTGCCTCACCAACTCTACAGTCAGTGACATTGATGCATGATTTTTTCATGCACGAAGAAAGTGATAAAAGTGAGCAGTATTCACAAGTCTAGCTGTTCGTGTTAATCAGTCGAATAAATGTGTGATAAGATGACTAATTTCATGTGTGAGTTGTAATCAGAATGCAAATCGAAACGGAGGAGGAAAATATGGAAATATCTAGGTGATAGGATCCCACACACTTTGTTATTGTTCAATTATCTTAACGACTGTTAATCTCGCATAAGTTGTATATCATCAATTCCCACACACTTTGTTATTGTTCAATTATCTTAACTACTGTTAATCTCGTATAAGTTGTATATCATCAATTCTCACACATTTTGTTATTGTTCAATTATCTTAACGACTGTTAATCTCGTATAAGTTGTATATCATCAATTCTCACACATTTTGTTATTGTTCAATTATCTTAACGACTGTTAATCTCGCATAAGTTGTATATCATCAATTCCCACACACTTTGTTATTGTTCAATTATCTTAACTACTGTTAATCTCATATAAGTTGTATATCATCAATTCTCACACATTTTGTTATTGTTCAATTATCTTAACTACTGTTAATCTCATATAAGTTGTATATCATCAATTCTCACACATTTTGTTATTGTTCAATTATCTTAATGACTGTTAATCTCGCATAAGTGGTATATCATCATTCCCACGCAAATTGTTATTGACTATTACGACCAATTAATTCAAATACCGTTAGCTGTCTCTATTGATTGTAAAATTGTATAAATACCATTTCCTAAATAAGTTATTCGTCGTCGTAGTCGTAGTTGTTGTACTACAATACAGTCACAGACCAGACTTTGTCTTTTGATATTTCCGTGGTTCCCTGAATCGGAAGGTACCAGAAGCAGATAGGCATATTAGTCAGGCGCAGACAGAACAAGGCGACAACGTCCTCAATTTAAATCCCCTACAGCTACAACAAATTAGCGACGGGGATTTACCTTAATCCATTGCAGTTATAACACTAGGAGACATAAAGAGGGAAATACAAGAGTTTTAGGAAGTTGGGTGAGTAGAAATCAACAAGATTGTTATCTTGATAGTAGATATGGTTGAATGATTTTGTTTTGAATGCATAGCTAGTGTAACTGTTGTTTGTTTATAACACTAATACATCATTCCATATTTCCTTCGTTTCGATGTGCATGGTGATCACAACTCACGCATTAAATTAGTCATCATCTTACGTATTTGTAATTGGACATCGTTACATGAATGAATAAGGCGGACTACTTCGCCCCTCTTCCCATAAACCTGTAAAAATTATAATTGTCTGAATTATTTAACTCCTCTGACTGCTTCATCTTTAATTACATGTTATCTTTGTAAAATCATTTTATTCTTATGACCCCTTCATCAACCTTAGTTACAAATTATCATTGTCCAAATCGTTTTATTTTCTTTGACAATCTGTTACGCATACAACCTGTGAACACACTTATTCCTTAATTACTCGTGATCTTTCCAAAATTATGCAGCATTATGCAATCCACGTGTTGTGACCATTTCTACCTTCTAATTGTGTGTATTAATTTTCTTCCTGATTTATCACCCCATTGACATTTTCACACTGACTAATTATTGGTAACAAAGATACCAGTGCCACCTGATTGGTAGACTGTTGTGTATGCTAATAAAAATGCTATAAATACATTAGAGTAGAGTGAGAGATGAGGATCTAATTGAAAAGCGAATATTTCTTCGCTCAATCATTCTGGTAACTGGAATCCACTTGTTCAGCTGCTCACATGCACTGACTAATATTAATTAGCGACTACACGATTATGACAAATAGTCATCACTTTTGTTACAGGCCTGTTTCATGAAGAAAATTGCATATAAATAGGATTGTAGAAGCGAGGGGGTAAGGGAATTCCTTGAAGAGAGCCTCTTCGCTGAACTACTTGTCTTGTGTTTTGATAATGTTCGAGGTGTGTGTGTGTGTGTTGGGGCCGGGAGTGAGGAGGGAATTTCCCATGGATTAATTTTTAGTTGTCGTGTTTTATTTTCATTGGCTTTCCATTCTGTTAGTTACAATGCCGATTGTCGTTGGAATGTTAACACGATAATACTGTAATGTTGGAAAAATGTAGACTTTTAATAGAGTGAAAGAATAAGCTCGATTACTAAACATTTATTTCCTCTCCGTTATTCTCTATTGCTCCGCGTGAATCCTTCTTGGGCTGCTTAGGAAATATTTTGTCACATTGCGATGAGCATTCAAAGCTGTCAGTAGTGGGGAGGGTGGGGTGTCGCCAAACCACCTGGTTAATTTCATACAGCCTGTTGCCTGCATTAATTTGAATAAAGAAGGCAGAAACATATTTGCAGTTGCAAGATAATACGACCTCGTTTTACTTCGTCGATTCTCTCTCTCTCTCTCTCACTTAACTCGTCTACATCCTACACAAAATCAAATTTAAGTTAAGAAATGGTGTCAGAACCTACTTTTCGACGATGAATTCGAGTTATATCTCAAAGACTAACTATTTAGGTAATAATTAGATAAGGCGGTGGAGTTTACATTTCGCTTGGAAACAAGTATGCACTGGAGACAAAAAACAAGATAGAACGACAGAGTGAATTTTTATATTTACGTATATGTATATATTGTGGTGAAGAGTTGAGGAGGGTAGGGGTGAGTAATATTGTAAGATATAAATGAAATGAATTTGTCGATTTTATAATTTTACTTCACCATTCACACCCACATTCCTGAAGTCACCATCGACATATGTATAAATTCACTCTGTTGTTCTATCTTGTATTTTGTGTATAGTCCATGCTTGTATCCAAGCGAAATCAGAACTCCACCTCTTTGTCTCATTACTATCTATATGAGCAGTTACTCTTTTAACACTAAATAATTGTCTATTTATATCATGAAATTAATAAAGAGGTAAGAGGTGAGAAAATAGACTTAGGTCAAGTTTAAAGGACATATTCAAGGTCAAAGTAACAATGAAGACCACTAAACCAAATAACAGAGGTAATAGTACATCTGCTATAGTATCAAAACAAAATTTACCAAGGAAGGTTCAATGTGATGACGAATTGTTTTTGAACGCAATGTATTTGCGCAACACATTTCGAACAATCTGATCACACACGGACTTGTCATAGGAATATATATGAAATTAATAAAGAGGTAAGAGGTGAGAAAATAGACTCAGGTCAAGTTAAAAGGATATATTGGTCCTTTGTGCTGTGTTGCCTTTTATCTAAATATACTGTGTGAGTGTTTTGAGATTGCCTTACATGTTTCAGATAGTAAATTGCATGTTATCGTTTGACTGAAATTCATATGGGTAACTGATTTCTTTGATATAAGTATAAATCTTGGCCACTGTGGTAGAGCATAACTCCGATATGGATAAGATTTTATGTTGATAAATCACACAGTGTTATATAGTAATATTAACTGATGACCACCTTTTGAGCACAATTTTCATTACTGCTCATAATCATATCAAGGTACTCACTCACACAACTTTCTGCTTCGTTTATGTACATGACATAAGTAAAAATTGATAATTCCACATTTGTATAAAATCAATATAAGTTGAAGTACATTCACAACTAATAATTTGAGTGTTATGAATAAAATAAAATAAGATGGGAAATAAGATGTTTTCATTGTAAAATAAATAAATAAATAACTTATTAGAATGTTATAATGTGAATTGAAGTGAATACATTTTAACATTATTTATTATCCTCCTCTGATTTGACTGGTAATAATGTCTTCCATATCTCTGGTATTTGC